GGGGGGGGGGGGGGGGAGACCATAATCATAATATACTACTTGACTCTACAGTGAACAATAATTACAAAGTCAAAGCAATGTAAGCATTAATTACTGATATGACTCTGACAAACTCTTAGGAAGATGAACATGTTGGGAGAAGTAATGTAAAAAAGCTATATCATCATCTATGATATGAAAAAATCAACAGAAAATATCAAATACTGATAGAGAAACAGCAGTATACCACCACATAATAAATTCAAATTACAACAATTCTGAGGTACCACCTTCCACCTGTTACACCAGCATGAAAGCTGAAGTCCGAAGACACACATTGTTCATGAGTGTAAATCATTATCACCATCATGAAGACACACATTTTGATAATTATCTATCAAAACCACAAATGTGTGCACTCAGCATTCCTGCTTGGAGGCTTTACTCTTCAGATTCCCAGGCATAATTGTGAAATGATATTTATATGAGATTACTTACAGCAGATGGTCTGTAAAAACCAATGGCCAGAATGTGGGTAGACAAGAGTAACGGGCATGAAAGAAACTTCATCATGCACTTTCCACACTTCTTAAAATAATTTTAAAAATGCATTTGAATGCACTATTCTTCAAAAGAGAGAGAGGGAGAGAGAAAAGGAATAACTGTATAAGTATATTGTTTGGATCCATCAAGACAGACCCAGTAAGGAACAGCTGAAAGGATTAAAACTGAGTGCCTTTGAGCAGACACCTTGTGGCCCAAAGAGCAGGAGAGTAGAGTGAATGTGGAGTATGCATGGTGCAAATGTACTTCACAGGGCCTGGTTTTCCAAAGCTTTGCAATTTCAAATATTGACCTTGCAAAGGACAGGAAATTTTCCCCAGGCAATAAAGTCTCTGTTGTAAGATAAAGAACTGTAACACAGCAAGGTTGCTGGCTCAAAGACAGACAGGTTACTGATTGATATGTAAAGATACTGGGAAGTTGCTGTAAGAAGAGAATGTTTGCTAAAATCAAGCTTTTGTTAGTGGATCAACTCAATTGCATGTTACCAGCTTCTATTTTTAAAACTTGTTAAACTGTACTTAGCAAAAACCCCACCTATGTTCTCTTCCTGTAACTTGCTGGTCTGGAGAATAAATACAGGAAGAGAACCCCAATTCGTGGTTAATTTCCCAAATGGAAGGAATGCCTCTCTCTTGAGGGTTCTGGGAGATTAACCCTGGGGCTTCTCACTGCTTAGAAGAAATGGGCTTTGAGTAATCTTTGGCGGCTCCATCACCCAGGGGAAAAGGGGTGACAAATCCATGGGAGGCAAAGCAAAAAGTGAACAGTTTTTATTATAAGCCTTTCCATACAATTTGCTTTACCTAGGTTAATGTATCACTTTGCAAATGTTAAAAGTAATGGCAAAAAGAAAAAGTGCAGTTTTGATCAGTTAAATCAAAAGGTGGGCCAAAATTAGCAAATGGTCAAAGGTTATTGCTTCAACATCCTCATTTTACA